AATCAAGTTATAGGACAAGCTGTAAATGAGAATATTTTAATAGCTGTAAGAGGATTGTCTAAAGTGTTTGTTGGAGAGTTAGTTATGGAAGCTAAAAAGATTCAAAAAGAGAAAGGAGATAGTGGTCCTTTACAACCACAACATATTCATGAATCCATTAGGAAAATTTCAAAGCAAAATCCAAATATGAAAGTGTTAAAAACACCACCTTTGAATAAAAGAATTTAATAGAAATTTGTTTAAAGAATTTAATAGAAAAAATTTATAATAAAAAAATTTATAATAAAAAAATTTAATAGAAAAATTTAATAGAAAACTTTTTGATGGCAAAAAACATACCAGAACATTCAAAACCAGCTGAATTATTTTATAATAAAGAAGAAAGTAAAAAATATCATAGAAATACCAGAATCAATAAAATACAAATTGAGATGACAGAAAAAGCATTAGAATTGTTAAATTTAAATGATCAGAAATATTTTATAATTGATATTGGTTGTGGTAGTGGTTTATCAAGTCAAGTAATACTTGATAAAGGACATGAGTATATTGGAGTTGATATATCTGAGAGTATGCTTAATATACACAGAGTGTTTATTGAAAATTCAAATATACTTAATTTTGATATCGGTGAGAAGGAATGGCCATTAACAGAGAATTCATTTGATTTTGCTATTTCTATTTCAACAATTCAATGGCTATTCAGCTCATTTAAAAATGAACACAATCCTAAGAAAAGAATTAACAACTTTTTAAACAATCTTTATAGAATAACTAAATACAAAGCAGTTTTACAATTTTATTTAAAAAGACAACAGGATATAGACATGTTAGTTAGATATTCAAAGAAGGTTGGGTTTTATACAAAATTAATAATTGACGGTGTGGGTAAAAATAAAAAATTTTACATCATACTTTCTAAATTAAGAAAATAAAGTAAATTATTTTAACGAATAAAATTTTTTTAAAATATAATTGGTTAACCTCTTTTATTAAAAAAAGTAAGATTCCCCTTTATGGAAAATAAAAATGAACAAGCTAATCAAAGTAAAGTACAAAATGCTATAAAGTCAAACGCATTAGCAAAAAAAGTACCTGATAAGATAGAAAGTGTAAATAAGACAAATATACTTAGATCAGTTGCACTTATGAAGTTTTTTTTCTTTTGTGGGATGGCTTCAATTATTGGTGCGCAAAAATTATCTGGTGGGGGTGCTTCTTCTGGTTTATTTGAAGGATTTCGAAAGGTTTTAAACAGTTTAAAAGGGTTGTTTGAATTTATTTTGTTTGTAGATATGTTCAACTATCTGACAATGTTTCTTGGATTAGAATCACTAATATACATTTGTGTAGTTGCCACAGGAGTGAAATTAACACTTGGATTTTTCTTATTGATTTTAGTATTTAAAGGGTTGTTTATTTTTGAAAAACCATTTCTTATTATATTTTTTGTAGGAGTGGTTACAGTTGATGTTATGTTTATTATTTATCTTGATAAATCATTTGAAGAAGATGAAATAGAAGAAGAAAATCTGGTATAAATAAAATTTAAAGAATTAAATTATTTATTAGGAAGTACACGTAAAACAACTAGGACACTTACTAGAGACATCTATTCCTTTGTCTAATCCAACTATTTCTGATTCAAGAGAATACATTCTTTCTTTAGCATTAACATTTCCATTATCAACTGCTATTTTATAGTATAAAAGTGACATTAAAATATCCTGATCTGTTCCATATCCCTTTTCATAACTCTCAGCACATTTAATAAGTGCTTGTTGATTCATTTTACATGCAGCCTTTTGAATCCACGAGAAATATTTCTTATGTGACTTATCTTCAAGTCCATGTGTACCTTTTTTGAGGTGTGTAGTCATAAAAAACATTGCTTCAACATGACCACCATTAGCAGCTTCTTCATAATAATTGAGTGCTCTTTTAGAATCCTTAACACACAACAACTCACCAAATTCAAAACATTGCGCTAGTTTAAATTTACAATTAGGATCACCTAATCTTGCTCCCCTTAAAAATAATTCTTTAGAATAAGATTTGTCTATTGAAATATCTACATAGCTACCTGTTTCATAAATTATACCAACATCAAATAGTGGGTAAGGACAATATTCACTAGCTTTCTTAGCTGCTACTTGTAGATAGTACCATCCAGTTTTTTCATCAATTGCTGCCCCTAAATACCCATTCATTAAAATAATTCCATATACGTATATAGCATCAATATGTCCTAATTTGGCTGAACATCTATAAAAACATATTGCTTGCAAATCTGATTTTTTAACTCCACACCCCTTTTCATAGCAGTGTGCTAATCTATATGTTCCTATATCACTTTTAAGTTGAGCTGATGTCGTATAGTTTTCAACTGCTTTAGCTTCATTAAGTGGATATCCAAATAAACCAAACTCATACCCAACCCCAATATATACGTAGGAATTACTTTTCAATTTTCTCATACTGTTTGTTTTTGGTTGTATTGAACTCATTTCAACTAGAAAACTTCTTATTGTTTCATTGAAAACTTTCATTTCTTCATCTTGGTTTTTCTTACTTGGATTTTCATACTTAATATAGCAATTGTAGTGACCAAAATCATCTTCTACAAACTTAAGAAATTTTCTTAAGAATAAAAATTTCTTTTCTCCATCATTTTCTTTAAATACTGTTTTATACTCATTAATTAGATGTTCTGGTAACTCTAAATATTTAATGTTAATCATTTTTTATGGGTAAATATAATTTTAATTTAAGGAGAAATAAAATTACAAATTTTTTCATTTCAATTAAATTGATGTTTTAAATAAAATTCTTGTTAACAATTTTATGATTAAAAATGATTAAATTTCTGTTATAAAAAATTTTACTCCTTTAAAAACAATAATAAAAATACTTTTATAACATAAACAATTGTTAAAAAAATAATTGTTTGTTTTTTTAAATAAACATCACATCATGTTATAAAAATAGTTTTAGTAAACAAAGAAAAAATACTTTAAAAATTTTTAAGAATAAAATATACTTTTACATTTTATTATAGTTAATTTTTTTAACAGAATGAATGTTTCAGGATGATTTAAAAGCAAACAAGTCTAAAACATTTATGATTGTAGAAAAAGAAACAAAAACTGGTAAATTTGAAATTGTTTCTCGCGAGGATGAGAATTATGAATTTATTCATCTAGTTCTTAAAAGTGATATAAAGATGCCTAAACTAAACAGTTTATCAAGTGTTTATATATACGATGATCAAGGTCACAAAAAGTTATATAGACCTATTTTACAACAAAAAAGTAGAAAGAAAATAGAAATAATAGTTAATAAAAATTCAGAAGATTACCTGGATAAGTACATATGCAAGCAGGATGAAAAAGAAAAATTAACAGTTGAGTATTTTATAAAAGAGGTAGTTACTGACTGCAGTAATTTTAAGACAGTGTTATGTGTATCAGAAAAAGATGGAATTACATCATCAATGCAAATAGCCATTTCAAATGTAGTTAAATCTACAAATGAATGTTATTTTACTCTTTTAAATATGCACAAGTATAAAAAAGATATTATGTTTGAAAATTTTATTAAAGGTTTAACTGAGACAGGAAGTTTACATAATATAAACTTTGTAACACATAATGAAAAGGGAGAGGTGGTAAATGAGCTAGATCACTACAAATTGTTTGATCTTACGGAAGGTAAAAGATTTGATCATCATTTTGTTTGTGGCTCAGATGAATTGGTTGAATTTTTCTTTGGAGTTAAAGATCCAATGAATAAGGAAAAAACATTAAGTGGTATTTTAGGTAACATGGGATATATGAATGACAGTGTTACAATACTTCAATATGAAAGGAAAAGTCAATAAATTTTAAATTTGTTATTTTAAGGGATTGTCTCCTTTTGATCATAAAAATTATTCTAATAACTCCTAAATATGAGAAAAGAAAATAAAAAACGAAGTAAAACGTTTGAAACTATAGTAACCATTTTACTTGGTTACATAATAGTTCAATTAAGTTAATAATAAATTAATAAGAAACAAATCTTTATTTTTATTATTACAAATGTTTAACAACTTTAGATGCTGGTTCATTAAGAATATCTAAATCAAAAGAATCTTCATCACTACCTAAAGATGAATAAACACTTTCACTCATTTCAATATCCTCACTATCACTTTCAATTTCTAAATATTCAATTTTTGTTGTTTTTTTCTTCGTCATTAAAAAACTTAATAGGATAAAACTTTTAAAAAAATTCTAAAAAATTTAACCAATCATAATAAATTTAAAAAACCAATAAATATAAACGACTATAAAAAAGAAATTCACATCCCCTTAAAACATGAAATGTCCAAGTAAATATAAAATAAACAAAACAATTATAATAGCGTTTATTTTGTTAAATATTATACAGACAATAGGATTTTTTGGTAAATTTTTAACATATTTCTATTTTTGGGTAGTAGAAGATCAAATATTTAAAGACAATTATTATAGAATAACTAACATTCTTAAGATGTTTTTCCCACTAAATCTTATAACATCAATATTCACCTGTTATTCAATGAATATAAGAAGTGCAGTAGCAATAACTATTTCATATTATTTGCAACTGATCCATTTATTTACAGGAACAACATTTTTATTTCTAACGGTTTTTTCATTTGAAAAGTATTATAAAATCTCAATAACCAATTCAACACACACTGACCCACAAACATATGGACTGGTAAAAGAAAGGTATGGTTTACGAAGAACTACTTCACCTATTATAGATGAATGTGTTAAAGAAATGGAATCAGTCATAAATGACACAAAGTTATTTATTGGAATTTCACTCTTAATAACTCTATTTATTTACATGTTCACCAATATCATTCTTCTTGTTAAAAAATCTAAGAAAACAACAATTAAGGTTCCAAAAACAGTTACTTGTATGAACGCAGCTATGAGTAATGAAAAACTAGGACATGTGAAAATTATTGTGTAAAATAAACTATAAAAAATAATTTTATTGTTCATTAGTTTCTTCCTGTTGAACATTTCTGTATTGAAATTCAATCAAATCACTACCATCACCAGAAACTCTACAAAACTGACCATAACCCTTAGTTTTAAGGAATCTCTGCAAATACTTCTTTAAATTTTGCTTATGAAGGTTCTCTCTTTTCGTTACAATGTTAATACCGGTTTCGTTATCAACATATGCAATTTCATTCATTGCTACTTCTTTTCTGTTTCTGATCTTAACTTTATCTTTAAGAAAATCAATGAGAGATTGACTAGTTATTAAACCATCTTCTACTTGATTTTTAAAGTTAACTGTAAATGTTCTTTCATCATTCTGATTTAATACTTCACTATTAGACATTCTATAGAAATTAAGGGTTAAAAATTTTTTAAAAAATTTAATTAAAAGTTTATCAGAATAAGACTAAATTAGACACGTTTAAAATCCAGAAAGAAACACTTATTTTCATTATAAATGTGATTTTTAGATGAAAACAGAAATTTCTATTAAATAAAAATTTTTATAGTAAAATATCTAAGAAAATCACCTGTCACGATAATCAAAAACATGTGATGAAAACAATATGTCAAATTTATCAATGATTTCAGTAAATTAATTTTTTTATTGATTAATCATGTTTTGACATCAAGTTGTAATTTAAATTATTATACCCTTACAAGAATAGCATAAGTATAAAATGGGAGAATTTTCAGAAAATAGTGATGACAAGAATTTATATACAGAAGAGAAGGTTGAAACGGTAACAAAACCTATACCAGTACCGGGAGGATCCTTATATTTCAAAAGTAAAGGAAAAAGAAAGAGAACTAATAAAAATCAAGATGTTGTATTTACTGACTATGTACCAGAAATAGAGTACCACAATAAGAGGTTTACGGAGAAAGAATATAATGATGCCCTACTGTTTCTTTATTTCACTAAGAATGTAAAGAACGCAAAACCAGAAAAGGGTGAAAACATTAAGACAGTGGATGGTATTACATTTATGATTGAGAATAATCGAAATACTTGTATTTATTGTGGTAAGAGTTATATCCATTTAAAGAAGTTAGCTGTTCATATGATAAAGCTTCATAACTTTAAAAAATAAGTTAGTTTACATTAAATTGATTTTGATTAATTAATTTTATTAAAAAAGTTTCTAAAAAAAGATGACATGCTGATTTATTTGAGAGGGAAAGATTTTTAAGATTTTAAGAATTTTTTTATTAAAATTTTTAATGAACAAATTAAAGCTTTATAATTCCATTACAAGACGATTAGAAGAATTTAAGCCAATTAATGACAGAGATGTTAAAATTTATATATGTGGACCTACTGTTTATGATAGTCCTCATGTAGGACATGCTAGAACTTATGTTTCATTTGATGTTATAAGAAGAGTCTTAAAAAACTATTTCAATTATGGTGTGACATTAACAATGAATATTACTAACATTGATGATAAGATTATTAAAAGAGCTAATGAAATGAATATTGATTATAAAGATTTAACTAATAAGTATGAAAATGAGTTTTTTCTTGAGATGGAGAAATTAAATGTTCTTAAACCAGATTTTATTACAAGAGTGGATGATTACGTTGAAGAAATTAAAAAATTTATTGAAAAGTTAGAAGATGATGGATTTGCATATTTGGCTGATGATAAGAGTGTTTATTTTGATATAAATAAGTTTAAGGAGGCAGATTTTAATTATTTTGTGCTTAGACCGGAAACTAAAAAAAATACAGTTGTTTTAGAAGGTGAAAAGGAAAGCAGTGTTAAAAGAAATGAAAATGATTTTGTACTTTGGAAACATTCAAAGAAAGGTGAACCTGAATATGAATCTAAATGGGGCATGGGTAGGCCTGGCTGGCATATTGAATGTTCAGTTATGGCATCAGAGATATTTGGACCTAAACTTGATATTCATGCTGGAGGAGTGGATTTAGCATTTCCTCATCATGAAAATGAAATTGCTCAATGTGTTGCTTATTTTAAAGATAGTAATTGGACTAATTACTTTTTACATACCGGACATCTTAATATTGATGGAAGAAAAATGGCAAAAAGTTTAAAGAATTTTTTTACTATTTCGGAAATTTTGGAAAAAGTGAGTTCTACAGTTTTAAGGTTCTTTTTTATTCAACACTCGTGGGATGGACCTATGAATTATGATGTTGGGCAATTCGAGAGGGCTGAAGTGACTTTAAATAAGTTTAACACTTTCTTTTCTAATATTGATGCTATAATATTAAGTAATAGTCTTTTAAAAACAGTTTCTATAAATGGAAATGATAAACTTATGTATCAGAAATATATTAATTTAAAGCAAAATGTACACACTGCCCTATGTAATAACATAAACACACCTAAAGTAATTGAATTACTCAATTCTTTTGTAAGTGAAGTTAATAAAGAAATTAACGCACTAAACACAGATATTCTTAGATTAATAATTAATTATATTAAAGATATGCTCAACTTGTTTGGGATTTATAAAGAAGAAAATAAGTCAGAAAGCTTGGTTGAAGAAAAACTGGCATTAGTTCTAAATGATTATAGAAATGATATTAGGAGATTAGTTAAGTCTAATTCTGATAAAAAAGAATATTTTATTTTGTCAGATAATTTAAGAAACAAGGTTAGTGAATTAGGTTACATTATTGAAGATACTGGCAGTAAATCAATTATTAGAAAGAAATAAAATTTATTTGTAAAAATCTTAAATAAAGTTGAATGAGTAAAGATCTCTATCAAAAGTTACAAAAGAGTTTAAATGATAAAGACATACCAGAATTTCCATCAAATGTACCTAAAGAAGTACTAAATACTATAGATGACGAACTAAATGACAGCTTTAGAAATTTCAATAATCTTTCTATGAATGAAATAGCTAGAAATAGAGAATTGTTACCTTTTATTACAGATAGTTATTTAATAGGTGAGAAGATAGATTTAAATGAAATAGAAAAGATGTTGAAATGTTATAAACCTGTTGAATTGAAAGAAGAACCTTCAGTAATTAAGAAAATGGTTTCAACTGGATTTTCAACAGCTTCGGGTAAAAATACTGAAACGGTAAAAGAGAACCAAAAAGAAGATAAAGAGTCAAATGTTGAAGATTATATTTTAGAGAGGATCAGAAAAGAAATTTTAGAAACCGACCTTCATTTATCATGGGATGTGGTTGTTGGATTAGAACTAGTTAAAAAGACTATCAATGAGATAATATTATGGCCTATGCTTAGACCAGATTTATTTACAGGACTTAGAGGACCTCTTAAAGGGATGTTACTTTTTGGTCCACCTGGAACAGGTAAAACAATGATAGGTAAATGTATTGCATCACAAGCTAAAGCCACATTCTTTTCAATATCAGCATCTTCACTAACTAGCAAATGGGTAGGGGAAGGAGAAAAGATGGTAAGAGCATTGTTTTATCTAGCTAGAAAAATGAGTCCATCAGTTATATTTATAGATGAGATTGATTCTTTACTGTCACAGAGACAAGATAATGAAAATGAGGGAAGTCGAAGAATTAAGACTGAATTTTTAGTTCAGTTTGATGGTGTTAAAGCAGATGATAAAAAACAAATTCTTATAATTGGTGCAACAAACAGGCCACATGAAATTGATGAAGCAGCAAGAAGAAGATTAGTTAAAAGAATTTACGTTCCTCTACCTGATAAGAAATCGAGAATTCAAATGGTTGTAAATTTAGTTAGTGAAATGAAGAATCAAATTAGTGAAACTGATTTAGAAACAATAGCTGATATCACATTAGGATATTCAGGTAGTGATATTTTTAATCTTTGTAGGGAGGCTGCTTATGAACCACTTAGGGAAATTGATGACATTTCTAAGTTTAATTCATTAGATGCAAGGCCTATTTTACTTAAAGATTTTCTAAATGCAAGTAAATTAATTAGGAAAAGTGTAGCAGAAGAAGATTTAGAATTATTTGATAAATGGAATAAGGAATTTGGTTCGGTTAATTAAAATTCATTGAAAATTTGAGAAAAGAATTGAAAAATTTTATTTAGTAGATTGAAATCACAATTTGTTTTAAAAAAATTAGTTAAAATTATAATGTTAATTAATAATTAATTTTTGATTTCAAAAAAGTTAAAATTTATATAAATTATTTATTTAATATATTTTTTAAAAAATAAATAAGCCGTTAAAGCTCAGAGGCTGAGCGTATGTTTAGTAAACATAAGGTCGAGGGTTCGATTCCCTCTGACGGCTTACTTTTTAAAATTTATTTTATTTTATAATTTCCTAATACACCATCATCAGTTCCAAAAAAACATTCATTATTGAAACAACAACCACTTAGAACAATATCTTTTTTACTTAATTCAATTTCATATAAAATTTCTAATGTTTTTGAATCCATTTCAATTAAGACATTTCTATTACAAATAAAAAAGAAGTTTTTATCACTCCAAGATGATAAAATTGGAAATAAACTAAGTTTAAGCGTATGAATAAGCATATAATCATTATTTGTATCATAAATTTCCACACATCCATTTTGCAAAACAGCAATCAAAATATTATTAATAACCATTACATTTAATACAACATCCACACATTTAATAGTTCTTTCTAGTTTAAAATTTTCTAATAAAATAATTTTTATAGATTTATCAAAAGAGTAACTTATTAAGTAATCTTGGTAAAAAAGCACACCCTTTACATCTTGATTGTGATATTCTAATATTTTAAATATTTCAAAATTTTTCAAAATCCAAACAGAACCATTCCTTATGGCAAGAGCCATGTAATTTTTATAAAAATCAATTCCTTTTATTTCAGTGTCAGGGCCTTCAATTATTTCAAAAACTTTGTTATTTTTCAAAATAACACATGTTCCATCATATGAACAACAACCAATAAAATCTTTATATGACTTAATTTGTTTAACTGACTTTTCAAATTCATATATACACTTATCATTAAAATAAAGTTTAGATCCAAATCCAAAGTACTTTCCGGTATGATCAACATAAATAGCCATGATTTTGTTATTAGCTGACATGTAAATTTTTATAATAAAAATTTTTAAATTTTTCTAGAGATGATTGATATCAAATTTATAAAGAACGTTTATCCAGGTGAAGACGTAAAAGAAATATTAGAAAACGAACTTATAGATTATAAAGATTTCAACAACACATACTGTATAGGAATTGATAATAATAAAGCAATAATTTTGGGACAGTTAAGCATGATAGAAGATAACCGACATAGACTCTTTTTCATAAAGAGTAAAACACAACGATATGTACCAAGAATGCATGATATAGTGATAGGTAAGATATTTTATGTTCACCCGGATTACTACAAGGTTGATTTAGGAAGATATGTAGGAATATTACCAGCACTTTCATTTCCAAATGCAACTAAGAGAAATAAACCAGAATTAATAAAGAATGATTTGGTTTTATGTAGAGTATTAGAAATCAATAATGAATTAGATAGAGAAGCTCTATTAACATGTACCAGTATTGGAATGGGAAAAATTGAAGAAGCATTTGAAATAGAACCATGGAAGGTGAGATTGTTATATTTTGATTTAAAATTAAAAAAGATACAATTAAACTTTAGAATTGCACTAGCAATGAATGGACTTGTTTATATCGAAGCAAATGAAGAAGATAAGAAAGAAATTTTAGATAAAATTAACAATTTTTATTGTCTAACGATAATTTTATCAGAAAGTAACTTACTTGGTCCTTTTACTCCCTCTGGATCATATGGTAACATAATTTTAACCTGAATTCCAATAACTCCCTGTTTACACATAGCTTCTGATTTAGCTAATCTAATGTAATCTTTAGCAGGTTGTCCAGCTTGAATTAAAACTCCATGAATGTAATTAGTAGATTTAGCTCTTTGACCTCTTAATTTACCACTAATTTTAATTGAACAACCCTGTCCTTTAGCTGCATCAACTGCTCTAAAAGCACTATTGATAATCTTTTTATGAGGTTTGTTTTCCATAAAAGCTTGTCTGATCATCTCAGCGTAGTACTCAGGACATAGTCTTTTATCTTCAATTTTCTCAAAAATCACTTCCACATTGCTAGATGGAACATTAATTCTCTGGGCAATCATATTCTGCAGCTGTTTAAGTCTAAATTTAGATTCTCCCATTACCTGAGAAGGATTTAAAACTTTAATTGCTGCAGTTATTGGTGATTGGTTCATATCCAGAGTAAGTCCTGCATAAAAATCAGTTTTAAGTACTCTTTTAAATAATTCATCCAACTCTGCATACATCTTTCCTTGTTTGATATATTCCTCTATTAGTTCAACATTATCAATTTTTGAGTTCATACTTGTAAATTGTGGGTTAAAATTTTTTTAAAAAATTTGATCAGATTTTTAAAATGAGTGAAGATAAATTTAATCATGAAGTATGGCTTGTTAAAGTTGAAAACGATGTATTTAATGAGATAGAAACTTATAAAGAAATGTTTAGAAGACACACAACAGCTTCAAAAAGATGTATTGAGCTTATTGAAAAACTTAAAACTAAACTGAAAGAATAAACTATTTTTATAAATCAGTTGTTTAAAATTTCTTACACTTTTTATTAAACACGTTAAGATATAAAAATTATTTGTTTTATAAAACAAATAATTTTTATATCTTATCAAATAAAGAGAAGAAATGTATTGCTTTGTATAGATATTTATATAGCTTGTAACTTTTATAAAATTTAAACATTCATTCATTATAATTTATTTAGTATTTTTCTTAAAATTATATGAAGGTGTTAAACTTATTATCATTTGTTTAAATTGATTAATCAAATAGTTATTTACGTAGTTATAACAATAACATTAATAAAATAAGTTTTTTTAATAATTAATTTACATTAAAAAATTAATAAATTAAAAAGTATTAGAAAAGTATGGTTTTTTATTATCTTTTAAATAAATTGAACATTTTATTAAAATGTGTAATATTTTAAAACTACAATTATTTATTTAATAAAATATATTAAAAGTATCTTATTGATTTTTTATCAAAAAATTGTATTAATTGTATTAATTGTAAAATTTGAATTAAATTAGTAAGGATTTTGTAGAATGAATGATAAAGATTTTTACAAAAAATCATATCATGATTTTATTTATGTTTAATGAGTTAAAACATGAAAAGATTTTATAACCAAACATATTTAAAATATAAATTTTTTAAATAAAAGATTGTTACAAAAATATCAGTTAATAATATTTTTAAATAAAAATAATTTCACAATAAAATAGTTTTAGTTTAAAAAAATTTAAAATTGATATTGCCGAAATCAGCAGAGGATGAGTAAACAAATTTATTTAAATCTTTTGCATCATCTAAATACCCGCCAATAGTATTACTGGTGTCTATATCTATCGTCTCATTATCTTCATATCTCTCTTCATCTTAACTTCTATGAATATAAAAAAATAATTTTTAATTTTTAGTATAAAAAATTTTCAAAAACGTGTTTACTTCAATTTTACTTATAGAATATTACGACAGATATAATTATTATAAAGATAATATTCAACTAAATTCACATTTTATTCAATTAAACTTATATAATTATTCATTATTTTCCTTAATACTTCAATTCTTAAATTAAAATATGATTGTAAAATTTTTTTTCGATGATAAAAAATTTTGTAAAAACATATTTCAAAAAACAATCTCAATAAAACTCGATATCCAAACTTAATGTTTAAAAATAACCATATATCACCATGTTTAATGAAATAATCTATCATAACATTTAATTTTCCTACTTTTTCATCTTTTAGTGATAAAAAATCTAAATTGATTTCTTCTATCAATTCTTTCTGAATAATTATGTGAAGCTGTTTAAATGTTAATGATTCTATTGTTATATTTTCATTTGTAATTTCTTTATAAAAAAGATTTAACATTGACAGAATATTAGATTTTGAATCAATAACTATGTTTTTATCAAACTTTCTCTCATAAAACAAGGAAATGAATTTTTTTGTCCTTAAAACAACTTCAATAAATTTCAAATATCTGTTTAAAAATATAACAAAATCAATGTATATGACATATTCAATAATTCCTTCTTCAGGATATTTAAAAATGTAATCTAATATCTGTATTAAAATTATGTCAGTAAAATTGAAGATGTTTGAATTTAAATATTCAATATCTTTCTTTATTATTTCTTTAAACATTTTACAAAATTCAAAATTTTTTAATCGTAAAAAAGAATGGAAACTATTAATATGTTTTAAATCTGCCTGATTTTTTCTTTTATTTATTAAAATTTTGTTAATCATTTGAATTAAATACTTTTCAAGATTTTCATTTTTGTCATACAGACTGTATAGAACATACAAATATTTTATATCATTAAACCATACAATATCCATAATTACATACCTAATAGATTCTATTTGATCTTTAACTTCACATATACCAGTTAAATTATTAGGTAAACCACTTGATGTATTTGCAGATTGATTTTCGTTAGAAGAGGTTAAGAAATATTTATTAGCAACAGGAACTACTATTTCAAATTGATTATTCACTATTTCAGAATTTTCCATGTTTAAAACATGTTCAATCTCTTCAAAGAGTTTCATATTATCTGATTGAGGTTGTTCTGTTTTTAGAAGTTGCAATTCTGTTTCTATATTTAATTTATCCTCAAGACTGATATCCTGATATAAATATAAATTTGCACATGTTATTAAATCAAATTTCATTAAATAATAAAATAACAAATATTTTAAATTGTAATTTTATGTGCACAAAAAATTGTAAATTAAAGGTTAAAAAATAATTGTTTAAATCATTATTTTTAATGTAATATAATGATTAAAAAAAAAATAATTTTTGGTATATTTTCTAATAAAAATAGCATGTTTTTTAAAGCTTTAAACTCCTAAAAATATTTATAAATTGGATTATTATATGAAAATTTAATTTGTTAAATAATTTGATCAATTAATAATAAAAATTAAGAAAAAAAACAAATCAATTAAAATTATAAATTTCTATTTAATAAATAACGTAACAGAAATATATTATTTAATCATAATAAATGATTGATAAGATTTTTATATAAAACAATATAATTTAATAAAGTAAAGATAGCTTTATTTGATTGTTAAAATTTACAAAACTATTATTTTTAATAAACATAGAGAAGTTTATTCATAAGAATTATAATTAATTTTGATTTATTACTTTCTACATAATTATAAGTTTAATAAAAATCAAAGTTTTTATTAAATTCTGAGTTAAAAACATATACAATAAAAAGGTTTCAAATTGAATTTTTAAAAAATCTTGTATATTTAAACAATTTCAAATATTTAGTGATATATTTTATTAAAAATTTTTAATTTTTAAAGAAATTTTCTATAAAAAAAATTGAGCAAATATTTTAAAATATTACATTGCTAAATTGTGTTTGAATCAGTAGAAAATTAATAAATTATTAATTGTTAGAACTAACTAATTCTTAATTATTAAAATAAAAATTTTATTGTAATTTGAAAGTGGAAGTATAAAAGCATTTTTACTATGATATAACAACAATAACATATCAATTTTTATCAAAAACACAACATGTAATTTTCCTTATTAAAATCAAAGGAATAGTTTGAAATTTATTTAATTATAAATAAATTTTACCTTTTAAGATAAAAATTTTAAGATTTATGATTATAAACATTATTAAAATGTTTAAAAAGACACTTTACATAGAGTTTTACATTGTAAAACTCGTTTTTGATTGTGTTTTTAGAAATACACTATATATTATTAGTGAAAAGTTAAAGAAATTTTTTTTGTTTTTATTTGCAATTTTTATACTATACACTGTTTTAAGATTATCAAAACCCAATTATTATTTTAGAAATATTTTTTTTGTATATTTTAAGTAGTTTATTAGTTTATGAGTGTGCTTCTATACTTTGCTTAATTTACCGTTTTTTAAATGATAGTTTTGAAGATATACTTGAAGACAAAAATATAAACGTTTTAAACCATATTATAAAATTTTATTTGACATATATTGTCTTTATAAGAGGTAAATATCGCTTTTTACCTTAAATACTTATATAAAGAAATTACCTAAAATTTGGAAAAAAAAGATTTGATCTAATATTTATTGGTTTTTTCACTAATATTATTACTTCTCTCAAGTATGTTTTAAGTATAGATAAAATAACGACAATTTTATCATCGTTAATAATATATATCCAAACAAGTTTTAAATATGAAATGAAAAACAAAAAGTATATTTTGATGGTATCACGACATGCAAAATATAATTTTTTAACTTATCTTTTTGTGCTAAATTTACTTAATTTTTCGAAGATATCTAGAGACATCTTCATTAATCTAATTTTGCAATTTTTTACAGTAGTTTTCTAAGTCTAATAATAATATTTATTTATTATAAAAAATCAGCTGAAATTAATATTACATAATTTTTGAATCTCTAGTAATACTTGATGAGAATAACATTGTGTAGGTTATTATACTAAGTTTTTTTCTATTTTATTTATTCGTTATATTTTTAATTGGAGTTATTTTGAAAAAAGAAAGTTATATAAAAATAAATTTAATTTTTACTATTGTATGTTTTGAACTGTTAATTTCTTGGTCACTCAATATTTCATAAAAACTATTTTTTATATCTAATAAAAAACTGTTTTTCTGTACATTATCAAAATACACTGATCATAATTAATTTCTAGATTGAATTAATAGTGAAAAAATTTATATAACCTTCAAAAAAAAGTTACTCAAAAGTAAATATTAAAAAAAATTCAAAGTTTTATCAAAGAGTGTTTAATTAAATAAACTGATTTTAAAAACTTTTTTAATTTGATTATTATCAAACAACAATTAAGTCTTAATTGATTTTTATATAAAGCTATTTTATTTTCTTATTAAAATGTAAAAGTTTCTGTCAGTAAACTAAAAACAGTAAGAATTTATTAAATTTAAAATTTGAATAGGGTTGATTTTTAATAAAATGTACTATGACTTTTTTAATGATACAAATACTTTTGCCTTTTATCAAATTAAAATTTTTTACTTTAAATATTATCTTGACAAATCGTTATTATTGTATTAAACAATTTAAAAATTTTAAAAGAATTTTCGGTCCTCCTTTTATATAAAAAATTATTTTAATATATTAAACTTTTATCAAATTATAAGAAATTAGTTATTTACTATTATGATTATTTTAAATAAATATAGAATTAATACCGTGAGAGATAAAACAATAAAAATTAATTGTAAAAAATCATAGTAAATTAGTAAAATCAACATTAAAAAAATTAAATAGATATTTTACTTTTTTAAAATAATTTTCAGAATTTACTATAAAAAATGATAGAAAGACTTGAAAATTATATAAAATATCTATTTAATTTAATTATAAATATAAAAATTAATAATTTTTAATACAAACATATGATTATTTTATTAAAAAATATTTTCTCTTAAAAAATTGGATTGATTTTCTCTAAAAATTTAAAAATAATGTATATTAAATTATTTATTTATAACAACATATTTTTCTTATTTTTTTAATAATTATGTTTTAATTGTGTTAACTAAGTTGAATTAAATTGGGAAACTAAATATTTTAATAAAAAATTTTACCAGTAAATTTCGTGAATAAATTATAAAGAAATAAAAACTTGAATCTAATATTATCCGTAGTGCGTAGGAGATAATTAAAGAAGTCTACTTCCTATTATTATATGCAACACTAAGCCGTGTGGTGATGTAATGGAATGTATGACAAAGTAGAATAACAGTTTTCAATTAAATATTTTATGAAAAGTTTCAAAAATTGAATTAATTTAGAGAAAAGGGTTTAATTAACAATCCAAAATTTTATCAATAGAATAATTATATGATCATTAAATAAAAAATACACTAACATACAAAATATGATTAAAAAGTAAATTTTATTGAAATTATACGGAAATTAATACAATTAAATTTAAAAGAAAAATATCTAACCTTTTTTCTTTTAGCTTACAAATAAATTTCTCAATATCATTTTTACTTTGTACACTAGTATGATAAAAAAACATCTCTAAATCCCTTAAAACACTTATTGTTTCAAGTCTACAGTCATAACATAAAGTCATCATTTTAGAATCACATTTTTTAAGTGAAATTTTAATTTTCAAAACTGGATTAACAATTTCATAAAACTTTAAAAAATTTGCAAAATCTACAAATTCTTTGTTATCTTGATAATGTTCAAAAATTTTATGTAAGGTTATAAAAATATTTTTAATATCAGCTGCAATAATACAAAAAGGAACAAAGGCATATTTTACTGAATTTTAGATACACATATGCTATGATCAAATTTACTATTATTTGTGATTAATTTTTGTCTTATTGAATCTTTTGAATATCCAACTGGTGTTCTTTCATCAAATTTCCAAATCTTATAAGTCACTTTAAAGTATCTTATTCTAACAATATCTTCTTCAGACAAATTATAAAAATCATTTTCGTATTTTGAATGTTTATTTTCATCTTTTTGTTTAAATTCAACCAATTTATAATCACTAGATGAATCTTCAACTTTACATACTTTCTCCTTATAAGTTTGATACATTGAATATAATGTTTTTGTTGTAATTAATAGACCAGAATATCCTACTAAAAATTTATAAATTCTTTGTAACATTACTTTTATTAAAAGGGCTTTCTTTTTTAAATTTTTTTTTGTTACAAACAATTAAGTAGATAAAAATTGATATCCTTTTACTCCTTTTTATTTATAAAAATTCACTTATAAAAATAAGAAAAATATTTTTGAACTTTACTTTAAATACTACGTGTTTAAATAAAAGACTATAAAAAAATCACTTTAAACAAAATTATAGGATTTTTACAAACCATAATAATACATTTGAGAATATATTTATAAGGACATCTTATAAGGAGTTTATAATTTATTAAATCAATATATAAACTTAGATTGTTTTTGACATATTTTTAATATAAAACACTTTGTAGAATCTTTTTTTATTGAAAAGTTATAAGAATTTTTGAAAAGAAAAATTTAAACATAAAATAATTTTATTTTTTGTTACTTCATTATTTTTAGTAAATAAATTATTAACAGTAACACTAGTTAAAGCAATACAATTACTGAAACCCTCAGAAGGCAAAGAAACTAATTAATTCAACGTGTCTATAAAGGTACTCCATATTTCTATTTTATTTTCTTCTTCTTCTATTTCATCTATCTTGTTAATATTAATTGTCTTGTTTTCTAACTCTGTATCTGTCATGAGGAATAAATTTTTATGTCAAATTTATAGACACGTTAATTTATATAGTATACTAGATACCACGATATATTAAAAAAAGGTTTATTATGTTATGTAAACGCTTTATAGAATATTTATTAATATTTGTTAGAAAACTATTTACTTGTAAAAATTTTTTTTACACATGAAATTATAAAACAGAGAGAAAGAGATTGCGAATTGTCATATAAAAGAGTAATATAGATGATTTATAATCTATAATTAAAAAATTTATTTTGAATACTACTTTTAGCTTCAAATTCTCATATTTTTATAAGTTATAAAAAGTAACAAATAAATATTTTTAGAAAAAAGATTATTATATAACAATAGATATAAATATTATAAATTTCTACAAAACTTAACATCAACTTATGGCGAGTTACGACACATATAATAATTAATATTAAATAAATTTTAATAAAAATAACATTATTAATAAATTTATTTTTTGTTATTTTGATTCAATAAAAATTTAACCCTTCTATGAGTCTTAAAAAGATAAACACTGCTAAGAAAAATAAAGATTGGAAAAAATTCTTAAAGATATCAAATATATTATACATTATGTATTTTATTTTTTACATATTGATAGTAACATTCATTATTATATTTTATTGTGTTTTATTTTATAATAAAGAAAAACTAGATAAAAACACCGAATTTGATTTTTCAAAAATTATACATTCGTTTGTTGAATATAACGATTGTATACCAAGCTTTGAAGAAACAAAAATTAATAACAGTAATCAAGAAGATCAGTATGTAATAGAAACACGTTATAGATTGAAATATTGTAGCAATCTGTACCAAAATAAGAGCAGTTATTGTAAAAGAGAACAATATTTACTTATTAAAAAACCAAACTCTGAATTAGACATTGAGAATTCAGAAAATAACAACATTCATCATCTTTGTAAAAAGACTAATAAAGAAAACATAAATGTTATTATTGAATATTCAGTTTTCAAAAATGGAATGTTAAAAAGTTTCAAAGATTCCTTTGAAAAAATTTTTGAATATTATAAGAATGATAATGATTTAAATAACATAAAGGAGGAAATATATGGAACTCTATTATTTTATCAGAAAATATTTAATTATGATTCTAATGATAAAGAGAAAGAGAAAGAGAAAGAGAAAGATAATGATAAAGAGAAAGAGAAAGAGACACGGGAATATTATATTTGTATTGATTGTTATAAAAAATTGAATGATATATTGGAAGAAGTAGAAAAATTTGCAAATGATTGTGGAAAACACACAGAAGGGAAAACTAAAAATTTTGTAAAATTTTGTTATGATGAATTTGTAAACAAAGAAGTCAATGTTCCTTGATACTTACGTAATCATTAAATTTTATTTTTTCATTTTCATATTTTATTAACTAATTTTTAGGTAAAAATTTTGAAATTACTTTGTGAAATATTATAAATTAATTTATAATATTCGTTGTTATTTATATTATTAATCATGAATTTTATAGGTAAATTTTTTAAGAAAATTAAAAACGAAATTCTAACAATGAAACAGATTTAACCTTATAAACTATATAGTGTCTTCATCATAGAAATATATATAAAATTCAAATTATTATGAAAGTTATAAACATATATCTTATTATGATATTAAAAACATTTTCCAATTTTTTATTTGATAAACTTTTTTTGGTGATTATCATATTTACATTAATAATAAATAAATCATTTAGTTTTTATTAGAATCAAAATAAATAATGGTCTAATAATTTTATTGATTTAATTTAAATAGATAAAAATCTATTCTAAATCAAATAAATTTATAATTTTACTTAAAAATGTTCTAATCAAAAATGAATAAATAGTTTTTTATAAAACAAATCAAATATTCTTGTAGGAATGATAAATACTTATCTTTATAAACATTCTTAAAAGTACAAGTTCATTTAAAAATTAAAGCTGAGTAAGTATTAAATCAAATAAATTATTAAGAAAAGTTTATACCAAGTAACAAAAATAATTTTTTACAAATTTAGTTTTTTAAAATAACAAAAGCTTTATTATACCAAAATTTTAAATTACATTAAAAATATAACATTAAAGTATTTACAGGTCTTTTTATCAACACTTTATAAATATTTACATTACTATTTTATAAAAATATTTAAAAAGCATTTGATATTTAAATACAGTGAAAACACATAATAAATTAACAAAAGGAGCTCAAAAATACATATTCAAAACCTAATATTTTTATATTCAAACAACTTGATTATTATATTTTAAGAAAAAAAATATTTGAAAGAAAAATTTATAAGTGATGGTTTTTAATTACTAGTAGCAATTATTTTTATAAAATAAATTGATCATGTTAAATTTAGCTCAATCATTAAATATAATTTAAAAGAAAAAGTTTTTTTAAGTTTTAGTACAAACATTTAAACAAAAAAGTAGATTTTTGTATCTTGATATAACATTAACATTATATTAACATCTAAAAATTTTAAATATATAAATTGATTAATTTGTTAAAATAAAAACACTTTCTTTTTGTTAATTTAAGATTTAATTAAAATAAAAAAATCATTGATTAATTCATAGAAAAATAAATATAGAGTTTTTATAGAAACATTATAATATTATAAAAATTTTAAATTTAAATTTAAACCTTCTTAAAATATTTTATATCACTTTTTAGTAGAAGAAACCTATTTTTAATATAATTTAAATTAAGAATTATCAACAAAACATTTTTCAAACATGTAAGAAAATAAACGCAAAATATGAGTTTTGATAAAGAAACTAGTATATTTTAAATCTAAAATGATTGTTATAATAAAAATATTACACAAAAAGTTAATATCAGTTTTTTTTACAAAAAAATAAATAAATTTTTAGTAATTTTAAAATTTTAGTCAATTACCACCACTTTCTAATGTAAATTATTCTTAACCAATAATAAAACATTTGTATATATAAATTATTTTTTAATATCAATAACATTTTAACTTAATCAGATAATAAAAAGATGTTGTTTTAAAAAATCTTTCTAATCGGATTAATTATTAGACATAATTTTCTTTTATATTTATAAAATATTTAAAACTTAAAAAATTTTGATTTAAAGAATGGTAAAGATTATATGAAATATAAAAGGTTTAATATGATAATGTAAGATTTATAGAATAATTCTTTATTTTGTTAAATCAATTTTCACTTTTATTGTCTTTTAAATATTTATAAAAAGCAATTAAAACAAATGATTTTGTAATTATAGATAGTTTTATAACTGTTAATGTTTTTGATTTCACATGATTATTTTAAATAAAACTTAAGGTATACTTGACAGTTTTTAAATTTTATAGTGAAAAAATTCAATTACAAATAAAAACAATTACTTACTTAGAATAATAAAATTTGGTTTTTTATATTAAACTAGAGGATAGTATTTATTGAATAAAAATGTACATTAAATTAAGACGAGATTTGAAATAAAAATAATAATTTAAATATATTTGATTTTTTAATTAAATCAAAAATAACAATTAATTAACAAAATAAGAAAGTGTTTATAAAAAAAAGAAATATCTAATAATATTTTATGATTAATGATAAAAAAATAGTTTTAATTATAAATAATATAGTTTAAATAAGGGAATATTAAATCTTTTTAAATAATTTTTATCTATTTTCAAATAAAATAAATTTCTAAAATGATAAAAATTATTTTAAAACTCATATTTGCTTCAGATTGTAATAGCAGTGAAGTAAATGCTGCTTTAAGTACTAAAAATAACTCAGAAGTTATAGACATTAGTAAATACATGATAAAGAATAAGAAAAGATCCAGCTTTCATATTGAAAGAGAATCAGAAAGTTTTTATTCTAATTCTAACAGTTTTACAATATCAAGTAGTTCTAATTTAAATTCTCAAAATCAAAACAATGGTTTGATAACAAATCTTGATGATTTACCTGTATATCAAAATGTTCCCCAAAATTCTCAAAATCAAAACAATGGTTTGATGCCAAATCTTAATGATTTACCTGTATATCAAAATGTTCCCCAAATATCTTTAAATGATAGCAATGAATCTAGTAATGATAATGATAACACCTACGAAGAAATCGATTTTTTAGATGAAACAGCATTTAAAAATGAAGTTGAACAACCAAAAATATCATTTATAAAAATAGAAAATGAAATATTATGTGAAGATTTTGAATACGAAAAAGACATTAATATTGAATTTAAAAATAAAAACAACAATTCTTTTTTTAAACATAACCCTATAAAGTGTTTATCAATAACTTTAGTGTTTATATCTATACCTCTAATAATTTCAATAGGTTTACTAGTTATTTTTATATTAAAAAAATATAAATTTATTTAATAAATTTATACAAATATTCTGTTTATTGAAAAAAATGTTTGAAAAATTTCTTTTATATTTTTATATTTTAAAAATAATTTGGATCAAATCTAAATAAGCAGTAATATCACCATAAGCTAATCTTTAGTATTTGTGATTCATTAATCTTATCAATCTCATTACTCATAATTTCGATGGGTAAAATTATTTTAACATAATTTATAGACACAGATTTTTTTAGAAACTAATTTTCTGATTTTGTAATGAAGTGTTGGCAACAAATATGAATTTAAAATTCAATTTATAAATGTTGATTGTGTTATGTTATTTTTATGATGATCGATTGATAATTATATTTGATATTTTAGTTTATTATTTATTTTGAAAAATAATTCACCTAATTAAAACAAAATTGTTTTAAATTAATTAAAAATGTTAATTCTATAACCAATATAATTAAAAATATTTTAAAACAAGTGTTTTGGTATCAATTATTTTAAAATAATTTTAATAAAAGATTTAAATTATTAAAATAAATAACGATAACTTTCAATAGTAATTTTATAAATTAAATAGACAACTAAAGTCTAAAATTTTATTAAAATGTTTTTTTTATTAGCATGTTAGCTTGAAATTACCTCATTTATAAAACCAAATTATTAAAATCTAAGTTTAAATCTAAATTAAAACTCTTCTAAAATAATTGTTTAAAACATAATTAAAAAAAAGTTTAGACAAGTTGATCTTAAGATTAAAAATACATTCTTAACTGATTATGCATTTTTAAAACAAAAAGATAACAATTTCATAAAAGTTACAAAAATTTGTTTAATTTGATCATACACTCCCTAACATTTATTATGTCGTAATATGTAATTAAACATATTGAACTAGTTTATTGAATGAATATTTTTAGAGGGAAAATAAATTTTGTGTCTATAAATTTGACATAAAAATTTATTTTCCCTCATGACAGATACAGAGTTAGAAAACAAAACAATAAATATTAACAAGATAGATGAAATAAATGAAGAAGAAAATAGAATAGAGATAAGAAGTACCTCTATAGACAGGTTGAATAAATTAGTTTCTTTGCCTACTGAGGGTTTCGGTAATAATCAAACTTTTTAACATGTTTTTTTATAAAAAGAATATTAAACAGCAGATTAAAAAAATATTGAAACTAAAAACTTTCTTATTGTTAAACATTACAAATATTAAAATAATATTTAAATCTATTCTTTAGTTAAAAGTTAGTGAAAACAGCTATCGCTGGTATATTTTTTAAATCATAAAACAATAAATTAAAAACTTCTTTAAAATGAAAAGATTTAAAATTTAAATAATCAAGTTTTAATCTTGAATTTTTATATAAAAATTTAAAGACGTTAAAAATTTTTTATTGAAGTTACAAATAATTTAATTATAATAGAAATATAAATAATTTACACAGTAAATGAAACTTTATTTACTCTTTTAAACGATAAATAATAATAAAAAATACACAAAAAGAATCATGAACAAATATAAAGAAGAAACTCTAAAAATTTGACGTGATTGGTGGTCTGAAAAAATATTAAATCTTGAATGTGTATAATTAGAGATTGGTTGTGAACCAGTTATAACTGGTGCAGACTAATTTGAATTTCCAACTGAAGAAATTTGATTATTTGATGCAGAAGTATTTTCTTCAGTGCTTAAAAAAAGATATAATGAAATTAAAACAATAAAAATACTAATGCTAATTATAAAAATTAATAATATCATTAACCAGAACCATTTATCAACTAAAAATTCATTATCTTGTTGTTTAATATCAGTTTTAAGATTTCTATCGCATTTTTGCATAATTATTTCGAAAAAAAGAAGGATTAAAAAATTGAAAAAAAAGAGGATAAAACAAATCAAAAAAATTGAGAGATAAGAGGGTTAAAAAATTGAAAAAAGGAGGGAAAATGTTTTATAAAATAAATAATAAATTTAGTTATAAAACAATAAAACTCTATTATCTTCTTATTATAAAATTAATATACTAGAAATATTATAAAATTAATCTATTTATTGTATTAATTTTTATAAAATCATTTACGCATCACTATAACTATTCGAATTATTTATTGGAAAAAACATTTTATTAACATTATCATACTAAAATTTTATGTCAGTTAGTATGACATATATTTTAATGTTTTGTATTTAACCAATTAAAATATTATTGGTTACTTAAAAAATATAAAGAAACTTTGAATGAAGAAGTGATAGTTAACAAAAGATTAAATTTAAGTAAGTAAACAAGCCGTGTAGAACACAACAATTATAAGTTGAGGATAATCTAATGGTGTAATATTTAGAAAATATGAATAATTTAATAAAACAGCATATCTAAACTTAAAAATGTTTTTTTAATTAAGTGAGATAAGAGACTTTGATTTTAATACCACAAAAACATTTAATTTATATAATCTTAGTATTTTCTATGTGCTTGATTAAATTTTAATAATCAATCTAAATATAATAACAAACACAATATCTTTCAAAGCTCATCATATTTCATTCAAAAAACACCTTATTATATATAGAATATAAAATTTTTATGAAATAGTATATTTTTTATTAATGTGCTTTAATTCATTTTTAAAAAATTTCATCATGATTTGTTTAATTATTAAATATATATTATTTATTATGTGAAGTACTATAATTAGATACTGCAATACAGTGAAAAGAGAAATTCATTATTTTAAATAAAACTTTATAGAAATTTCATTAACATTTATTAAAAAATATAAAAAATAATACTTATGAAAATGGAAGACAGAGAAGACAATACAAATAAAAAAGAAGACTATAGACAGCAAATATATATAAGAATAAATAGAAGATTTGAATCAACTATCAATAAATTTACTACGACCGAATACTCTTAGTTTCAGTATTTAAAAAACATTTAATAAATATCAATTTTCTAAACTTTTATTAATTGTGATCTTTTATTATCTTTTTATTTGAGAGAGTTTTATAATAGTTAATATGAATTCATAAACTTTACTTTTACAATTGAAAACTTTAAATTCTTAGTATAAACATCCTTTAGTTTTATGTTTACTCAAAATCAGTCTTTTAGGTTATTAATACTAAATAATTAAATACACTTGTATTAATTTTAATAAGATCACTTAGTGTATTTAGAAAAATAAGATTTATTTTAAAAAATATGTCAAAAATTAAAATAATTATTCTATGATTTTGTTTACATACAAAATTCTATTTTTATACAGAAAATCTCTTTCTAATTGTTATTCTTTACAAAAATTGTATCAAATCTTTAATATCATTATTTTAAAACTTTTAACAACGTAATTAGCTTTTTTAAAAGAAAATGAAATTATTTTAAATAATGTTAAAAAATTCTCGCAAAAGATAAATTTCAAAAATATTAATACCTAATTAAATACTACAAAAAAGAATATTTTTGATGATTTGTATAAATTATCAATTCAAAAATTTCAGTTACCTACTTTTGAAAATTAAATTTTGAAATTTAAAGAATATTGTTGTAAACTTCTAAAGTTTACTACTGTATATTTTTTTAACAAATTTTTTAAATATTTCAACCCATCGAAAGTAATAGGATGGATAAAGATAACGAAATAAATAAAAAAGATTTCAATAAAATGTCTAACCAAGATAATAAAGTTTATTTTCTAAAAAAAAGTCTTTAAGTTGATAAACCTCAAATAACATTTTTTAGTAATTAATTTTTATCTGTTTTATAATTTTTGAAATCAAAGAAGAGCGACACTTTGCATTAAAATTAATCTTATAAACATAATAATTATTAAATATTGTCTTAACTAAATATTTAAAATCATTAATAATATTGTTAAGATTTGATTGTGTGTAAATAATAAAGAATAATACGTTTATCTTTTGATCAAATTTAACTGTACCAAATCTAAAAGTACTTAAATTATTCAAAGTATCAATAGAATTTTCTTTGTTATGAAAGTAGATGAATATTTTCAGTAAATTTTTTAATAAAAATTCATCTTCATATTCCAAGTTAAATAAATTGTTAGAAGCACTAATTTCATTTCTAATTAAAAATTTAAACATTGCGTTTGCTGAATTTTCTTCTAACATTTGCAACTATTTTTTTTCAATCTAATTACTGAGATTGTCTTTATTTTTACACCATCACTGTGCTAGCTGCTATTTATATTTATAACACCTTTTTTCATTTTATGGTTTGTATTTCTTTCTCACTCCGTATTTCTGTAGATTAATTTTTAAATTTAATTTTTTCAGTTAGTTAGCAAAGCTTAATAGGAATGTAGAATTTTAAATTACATCAGCAAAAACGTTCGAGATACACCTCTGTCCTACGATAGTTTCAATATCTAAAAAAAATCAATAATTTTCAATTATTTAAGTTCATAGTTCTCTTTCTCCAGATAATTTATATTTAATATATTTTCTAAAACACACAATCTATTTATTCTAAATTATTAAAAATATTATTAAATTTTTTTTGATTGACACCTCAATTAAAAACCAACTAAAAAATTGATTGATATCTAAATACTTTTATTAAATAAAAAAATTAAACAAGTATTAAAGCCATTGTTGCATATTACAAATTTTGAAAACAAATATAACGACAATATTTTCTTGGCTTTCACGGAATCAATTCGAGCCATAAAACCTGTAACCAAAAAACAGTGTAAATTTTGTTATAGTTAAAGACTTTTTATGAGGACTCAAAAGAAAATTGAGTTTCACTTCTTTCTTTGGTGTAAGTCATGTTGTAAAGAGTGTAACCTTTTCGAATACCTTTCTTTATAAATAAGGAAAAACGCGAATTGTAAACTAAAAATTTTTAAACATATCTCTTTTTATTTTGATGAGAGAATATGATTGTATATGATGGTTGTGGCTCAGATTTAAGGAAGTTATATCAAGACTTACTGGAATAATTACATCTTATTAGAGGTATATAATTTTATTATTAGAAAAAAATTAGGAGCAGGGAAAATTTGTAAAAATAAATGAATCTCTTTTAAGAGATTTTAAAAGTACAACCAAGGAAGACATCTTCTTGATAACTTTATGAAGAGCGATAGGTTAAATAAGTAATCTGATAATTTTAGAAATAAAGTTAACAGACCATGGAGTTTGGAATGACAGAACAATTTTCCAGGAAAGATAAGACGTTTTTAAAAAAAAACGAGATAATGACATTTTGTTAGCACCGTTGTTTGAATATGAAGATAAACAAAATGTTATTATTTCAAATGATTAGAGAGTTTATCGTATGTTAAGTTTTCATTTTAATAAGCAAAATGTGGTAAGTTATAGCAAAAACTTTTTAGATACGACAAATAGGTATTATACTCAGTTGAATGAGTGTATACAAAGTCATCTTTAAAAAAAATATGAAATATGAGATAAACAAATGTATTTTTTACAAACTTATTCAAGTGTTTTTATGTCTGTTACCGATGTAAAAGACGAAAGTTGTAGATTTCATGAAAGTATTATGAAAAATCTATTTATAAAATATTTTATAATTTTTTTGTTGTAACATATGTTACTTCTATCGGTGTTTACATTAAAATTTTGGTATAACTATGTAGTTCTTTGACTACATCTAAATAAAAATTATTAAAAATGTCAAATTTATTAATTAACTTTTTTAAAAAAATTGTTATTTAAACTCATCAATGAATGTTAAAGATAATTCAACTATTAATAAGAATATTAATAAAATAAACAATTCCATTAAAACAAAAAGTTTGTTTATATAGTATATCTTTCAGTGTGTTTTTCCTCAGGAGTACCTCAAACTAATTTAATGTTTTTTTTAATATTTATATTGTTTACAAATATACAAAGAAGTATTAATGTTTTAATATTATTAATTAATAAAGCGATCAACTGATTATCAGAAAAAGAATACACTACAATTTTAAACTTTTAAAATCATTGTCATTGTGTGAAAACGATATTTTTATTAAGAAAACCAATTAATAGTTATCGGATGCCAATCTTTTTTTAGCTGCCAATTTAAACAGCGACACTATTTAAAGAAAAACTCAAATATAAATTATTGATACAAGTTTAAGAATGATTCTTAAACTGTTAATGAGTGGTTTGTGTAGGGTAGAAAGTTGTAAACATGCTATAATTGGTTTATTTTTTAAATTGACTTTTGATTTTATTATTAGATGGTAATATACAAACATTTCATTTAAGCAGAAGATGTTTTTTTGATAACAAAATTTGTTGTTCAAGTAGTTAATAAGATTCATAATTAAATATTTTTAGAATTTTCATAAGTTAATTTAATAATAAAGACATTAATAACAAGACACCTGAAGTATTAAGAAATTTGAAATATATAAGCATCCTTTCTAGGTATTATTCATAGAATAAACCTTTTTAAATACCATGAAACATGTTATTATATTTTTGGTTTTAGTTTACCATAAATAACTTTTTACTAATTTCATTATTTAGTATTTTACTCTAATCTTCTTTATACTCTTTAATTATCTTTTTTATGTCTATTCCTACTAAAAAATTCTCTAAATAATTGTATCTTACATATGTTACTATAATCTTTATCACTTATTATAATACTTAATAGAATGTCTATAAACTTTAATGTAAAATTTACTTTAAGTCACATTTTTATCATCAACTGATTTTACACTAAAATCTTTATTATTAATGTTATCTATAATACATAAAGTTACTGATTCAAATGGTTTTTTAACATAAAATTTACTTTAAAGTTATATTCTGAAAATTTATAAAATTCTTCTATTATTTTTGATTATCACTTTTTAAACAGTAGTATTGAATAGAATTTATTTAATTATTTAATTATAAATTATTTTGATAAATAATTTTTTAAATTAACACTCAACTAAATAATTTTTTTTTATTTTTTATTTAAACATTGTTACCTAAAGGCAAAATCCGAATTAGAAACTCTAATGGGTTTTTAAAAAATAATTTTACCCCTGCAATTAATCAATAAAATGAGTAAAGATAATAATTTAAACATCAGTTTTAACGAGTCAGAAGAGACTCTAAAACATGTGGACGAAAAACAGTCCAACAGACATGATTATTAGTTTTTAATATTGTTAAATCATTACACATAAAATTTTATTTAAATGTTTAAACAAATTTATTTAAAAAAAACAAATTTTATGAAATTAAATCTTTTTAATACAAATTGTATACTAATATAAATTTTAATAAAGTGACATATTACAACATAACAGAGATTTAAAAATTTAAAAATATGGTAAATTTTTTGAATAATTTTTTTTGAGAATTAATTTATCTCCTTGTTTCATTAATACTGGAATATTAATGTTTATTTGTAAACAATATTAACATTTAAGGAAGTAATAATTTAGCTGCTTCAAAATTTTTATCTAAACATACAACAGCAGGGTATTGTTTCGATTGGCGCCCAAAAAGTTTTGGCGCCCCATAATCGGATTGGCGCCCCAAATTTTATATATTTTAAAAATTCTAATAAAATTTTTAAAATATATAACCCTTTTGATTTATGAAACCTTGATGTGGATTTTGGTGGAGGAAGAATTTTTTGAAAAATTTAAAAATAACAAAAAAAAGGTAATTAATAAACTTTATTATTTTTATTATTTATTAGAATTTTTATATATATAAAATTTGGGGTGCCAATCCGATCGTGGGGTGCCAATCGAAACGGTACCAACAGCAGTAATACAGGTTAGAACATAAAAGTTTAAGATTCATAAAAAAAATGTTTTTATACTTTTAGATGTGATTAAATTTGTATCATCATATAAACAATGTAAAATATAATTTAAATTTAATCAAATTTTACTATTCATGGTTTGTATTATATTTAACTATCGTAATTCATACTAATGGAGTTACTCCATTTGTGTAAATTAGGTATATTTTGTAATATTTAACTGAACTTAAATATTTTATAAAAAATTTTACCCATAGAAAATGAAATGAGAGACATTAAAGAATTATTAACAATTAAAGAGTTAGAGATAGATAATATAACTGAAGATAATGTAGATCAGTTAGATAATAATAATGAACTAGTTTATGCATCTTCTGTAGACTTCGGCATCAACATTTTTTATAAATGTTTTTTAAAAATTAAAAAATGATTAAATTTCATAAACTATTCATTTAATTTTATAAAGATATTTTTTTAAAAGATAAAATCATTTTCTAAAAACACTTTAAAATTTTAGTTTAAAGATTAAATCTTTATTCAAAAAAGGGTATTTAAGAAATTATTTATATAATCTTTATAATAAAACTCTTTAAAATCAGAAGAAAGATTCATAAACAAGTACGAATTAGTGATTAATAGTTAACAGTGAGAATATATAAACCACAATTTGAAAAATATCAAATATTAATTTAATTTCTGATCAAAATTGCAATTTTTATAATAATTTTTGTAGTATAATTTATTATTATCTGAATGTAAAATAAATAATAAAATAAAAATAGTAAAATTTTTTTAAAAAAATTTCCCCTTAAATGGAGCTGTTTACCAAAATAATTAGAGAAGCTTTAAAGCAATTTTACAATATATTTTTTATTGAATCAACATTTATAACAATAATTGTTAATAACATATCTAATATTTTTATAAAAGATAAGAAAATAGAATTGTTTAAGATAGTTTACTTTCTTATGATTGTGGTTTTGTTATTTTGTATTATAATTAGATTATTTGCTTCTGATTATCACATACAAAGTATTACTAGAACAATAACAGGTGGATTTTTAATCTATGAATTATTAATTTCAATTAAATTTATACTGTCATTTGAATCTTTAAATAAAGATTATACAGAGCAAGGAAATGAACCTTTTGTTGATAACTTTATAAATTTTTTAAAAATAGATTTTGCAAAAAGTGAAGGATACTTGTATGCAATTACATTTTTAAATGAGTATTTAGAAAATTATTTAGTTGATTGTTTGATATTATTTTATAGTTTAAATTTTGTAGAATTTTTAATCTACATAATAATTTATGTATTTTCTAACAGGTTAATAAGCATTGATAAGAGTTTGGTATTTTTAGTTCTAGCAATTATGAGTTTTAAAACATGTTTCAAGTCTTTTTTTGATGATAAAGATATGTTTGTATATTTTAAAATAACTATGCTTGATATTTTTTATTTAATAACTTATACTGTCTTATTCTTTCTATCCTCCTTTGTAAAGCATGTTCGAGATATTTTAGTTAATATTATTTTATCTGTTTTCTATAGTATTATTCTAAGTCTTTTTATTTCATCCATTTATTATGAAGCAGATGATTTTTTTAACCGTTTAAAATTACTTTTATTAGATGAAGATGTTTTAGAAAATGAGGAAGTTTTTACTATTTCTAAAGAAAAATTTAGCATAGAATTTATATTTATGGGATGTTTTATATTTTATGTCATTGCCATATTTCTTACTAAGAGATTATTTTGGAAGAAGAAAACTGTGATATGATGAATTATTAATATCCATTCTATTTTTCTAACTATTTTTTATAAAAGATTTTATGTTTTTAATTGAATGTCTTTATTATACTTTAATAACAAATTTAATAAAAGTTGATGTTGATAATATTTGGTTTGAAGTATTTTTAGTAAAATTTCATTAAGAATTGTTTTCTATAATTTTGATTACATATAAGTTTAGTGGAACTTATAAAAAAATTATCTTAGACTAATCACAATTAACTTATATATAAGTTATAAAAAAACAAATAAAGATTTTGTAATTCTAAGATACTTCAAATTTACAAATGAAACAATCGGAAAATAAGTGGTTAATTTTTTTAGAGATATTCAAACAAAAACTCTTAAATAAACTATGATCAAAACAAACAACAATTTTATTAAACAATAAACCCTCGAAGAAACTCTGAAATATGTAAAAAAGAACAGCAAACATACTATTTGCTGTGTAGGTGAACACTTATCTTTATTTAAAAATTCTAAAATTTATTAATTAAAGAATAAAGATAAAATATAAATCAAAGTTTTAACGAATTCAAAGAGATTCTAAAACATGACAAATATCACAATAAAGGCAGCAAACACAATATTTCTTTTTTTAAATAATATAAGTTTTTTTATAAAAAAAGACAGAAGTTCTCATAATCTAGCAAATATTGTTGATGTTTAATAATTAAACAAATTTAATCTGAAACTGATTTAAAGCTTTAAAGAGTCACTTTCTGTATTTAGTAAGATGATTAAACATCAGTGAAATATTTCTAACTGTTTTACTTAATGAATAATTTTTAAGGATGTTAGTAATTCAATATTTTCTACCTATGGTTATTTAATGACTTCTAAAGTTTGTTTAGATAAAAATTGAACTAAACAATTTTCTAATAAAACTAACGAAAATCATAATTAAAATTATAAAAACATTATTTCTTTATTAACCTGTAAAACTTTCAATTTACAGAACTTAAAAAGGTCTCTAATCCTCTTCTAATAGAAGTTTATTCTATAACTTCCAAATATTCATTGTACATTTTCTTTGATATTTTTAACAAATAAGAATTTATTTTTGTACTTATCAAGGTTTAACTATGATCTTTTTAAAACTTTACTTATCATAATTTTTTTTAAATAAAAATTTTAGGTTCTATTTACAAAGTTCCCTAATTAAGCAACTAAATCAGTATCAACTGTAGTAAAAATACATCAATTTAAAATCTGTAGCTTTAGTTCCCAGTCTTCTTCTCAATAGATAAAACCTTCACTTAGAAATATCGAAATGTCCTTTTTTAAAATATTTTTATTGATTTTGAGTTACTAAACTTTTCCGTTGAATGTTTAATATCCAGTTGAATTTATTGTTTGTTGATAATTTAATTAGAAGTTTTTAAAAGAAACTTTCTTTAATATTAAAATTTTTAAACATTTAAACTATCCTTTATTTTCACTGATAAAAGAATTATTAGTTAAATTTTCTTAAAGCGCTAATAAAATTGCAGTAAAATGATCGAATGAAATAAAACATAATTTTTACCTGTAAACCGTACAAAACCCGTTATATTTAACCAGATCAAATCTTATACTTGTTTAAGTATACATTGAGCGCATCAAATCATACATAAAATACTTTATCTTCAAATCGTTCTAGTGGCACTTGTGCACTTATTTATACTTTAAATCTTTTTCAATCTAGTAGTTAAAAATAAATTTAGTAGATTTTAAACATCTTGTGATATCTTGATCTTAAATTGTATCCTTCAAAATACCAAATTTTAAAATAGATGAGTTATTGTTTTTATCTGAGCACTCGACCTGTATAATTTACCAATAACTCTCTTCATTCCGATTGTTACATGACATTATCACAATCATCACATTTGATATTAACCCACAGGCACACAATCCCTCTGCATAACTGCCAGTAAAAATTATTTACATGTTTCACAATAGAACTGAGAAACTTTCTATTGTTTAAAATAAGTTAATTTTTTTTAAGAAAAACTCTTAAATTAAATTTCTATGTTCTTCACAACGGGTATGTCCATAATAATCAAATGTTGAGTAGACATTCATATGAATTTGTTTTTTTCTTTATAATGTCAAAAACTGTATTTTCTGTATAATAGCTTCACTTTTAGTAATATTTTTATACTAATCAGTAGCCGAAATAAAAACAATGTCATAGCTTCTCTTTCTATATTATCCTGTATATACATTTAGACTTAATAACGATCATATAATATCACCTAAGTGTTGTTGGTTATTTGCATAGGAATGCTGATGTTATAAATTTCATAATAATCATTACATTTATTTTTTATAAATATTTTTTCTTTAACAGACAAAAAAATAACCACTTATTTCTTTGTATAATTTAAAGATAAATCATTTTTTGATTATATCAAGCTTTAATATGAAAATATGTAGATAGCTTATAAGTAAAGCTTTTCAAATAAACTATGGCAAATTTGTATAAAGAATTATATGATCTATACATCACTAACAAATTGATACAACTACACACTATAATACAATTCACACAATTTGTATTTATTAAAATATAAAAACAATTTATCTTGAAAAATTGGTTATTTTATATAAAATAGATGTAAGAAATTTATACTGATATACTTGAATATTTTAGAAGACATATTGATTATATAGATAAAGATGATTTTGTGATTATTTTTAATCATAAATTTAATAAATATATAAATCTAGTAGAATATAACAACAATCTTTCATTTTTTTATGACTATGTAATGGGAAAATCAATAAGAGATATTGGAAGAAGAAAAAGGGTTATTCGGAATTAGTAGAATTTAATATTGATGTATTTTAATCGTTTTTAGTAGTAATGATCACAATAGAATTGTATCTATAAATAACTTAATATAGGTAGTACCAGTAGAGGAAGAAAATCACTTTATTATGAATAGAAATATGAAAATATGTTTATAGCTAATTTCACTGGTAAATATTTACAAGTTGTTTTTAAGACTGATTTAGTAGAATTAAGCAGTATGACAGAAACTATGGTATGTTATGTTTTTAAATCATTTTATAATTATATTTTGTAAAACAGTTTAAATGAAACTTTAGAGACTGTTATTATTGAGAAGAAGTTTATGTCATAGTTAATGAGCATATTACATTACTTTATAATTAATATAAATGTAAAAATAATTACAATATTTCTATAAGAGCAGTATTATTAGCAAAGTATAATTTAGAAGAGAGGTTAAATAAGTTCATAATAGAATTTTATAAGAATGAAATATTAAAAGAAGTAAAAACATTAATTGAATTTAAAAAAATGAGGATTTAAATGTAACTAAGTCTGATAATGTGTCTTTAAATTTCTTAAATTAATATGATTATTAAAAATAAAATCAATATTATTAAAGATATGTTGTATTTTTTTGATCAAATATATATAGGAATATTGGATAAGATAAGTGGAAGTTTGGAATAAGTTGAAATGGTACAAGATTGAATAAGAATTGTTGATGATAATATTACCCTTTTCTCTTAAAAAGCATCTTTTGACATTAAGACCTTGTTTTATAGATAAATTAGTTGATTTTACAAACAAAATTATTAGTGAATTAAATAATAAAAACAACAATATTTACAAGATGAAATTTTTAAAAAAGATGTTTGATTTAGTTGATGATAAGAATGAAATTTACAGTGGTTATTAAAGAATGTGTATAGACATAATTTTAAACATGATTTTTTAACTAAAAAATTTACATTATTTCAATATAAAATTTAAACAACAATGTCTCCTATAGCAACATACTTTGTTATTTTAAATTTAAATATAAGATAATTAATCAGAAAATGATTAGTCAATTTTATTGTGAATATTTAAACATGACTCCTAAATAAAATTGGTTGAAACAAATAACATGTTTATTATATAAATAACACCTAAAAAACCTTAAACAATATAAGAAACAACAATAGATATATAATTTATTATGTTGTGTATGATAATAATATAATTTCTTAAGACTTTATTTATTAAAAATATTTAAATTTACAAAAAATTCTAATATTAAATTAAAAAAGAAATTTATTAAATAAATATCTTTTTAATGATGGGTTGACTAAAATAAGTATGATTATTTCATATTTATTTAAAAGATCATCAGATATAAATATTATATCATCTTCAGTAGTATCTTGGTCGTTTTTTATGTTTTCACATTTTTCTAAAACACTATAATTATTTTTAAGATAAGAGAATGGAATATAACATTTCAAATCATAAAAATGTAACATTCTTATGTAATAATTTAACTTGGTTTTATAATTTTTACTTTCTATAAAAAGAAGATTTGATAATTTTGTATTTAGTTGTTGAATTTCTTTTCTTAAAACATCATTATAATTATCAAGATATTTAAAAACACAAGAATCGAATGCAAAATGAGTTAAACTGTTGTTACAATAATCATACTTTTCAATTAAGACAATCATTTCTACAATGTATTTAGAAAACTCATTAAAAAATTTTTTAATTTTTTCATCATCATTAATATTTATTAAACTAGTAGTACTTAGAGAAAAATCATTAAAAAAATTTTTACTTAACGATTCTTTTACCTCAGAAGAATATATTTCATCAAATTCAGATGGAGATACTACATTTTCACCATTAAAAATATCCGAACTTAATATCTTCTCTTTAACTTCAATTATTAGAATAATAAGACATCTATACAAATTATACTCACAAATTATCTTATCTAAAAAAATATTCATTGACAAAAAATCCATATAAATTTTTAATAGAGATTTATCATTAGAAAGTCTAATATCCTTTTTATTTTCCTTTAACGAATCTAAAAATTCATAAATACATCTTGTAGATTGAAAAGATGAACACCTTGAACAATCCAATTCAACTTGATTATTATTTTTAACTTTTCTTATTATCAATTTGCCAAATCTCTCTAACTTATCTTTAAGCTTTATAAGAATATAGTTATTAAAATCTCTAATACACTCTTTTTTATCTGAATCTTCTTTATTATTAATCTGTTCTTTTCTAAAATTAATATTTAATTGTCTTACTGTTGAATTAAATTCATCCACAGATAGATCACAGTATTTAGATTCAAGTAATCTTATAACCAAAGGTACATTATTCATCAAGAAATTCTTTAATTCCATATATTCTTCAATCATTTGCTCAATTTCATCATCTTCTTCTAAAATTATATATGAATTATCACTTACTAGGGTACAGCCAAGACAAATATTTACTTTAAAGAAAAATTTCGAAAAATTCATGGTTAAAAAATAAAATTTATTTTATAAAAGAATTAGACTTAAATGTAAATAAAAAATCAAGATGAAAAAATAATTGAAAATAAATAATAAAATCTTTTAATTATAAAATTAACACTAACATTTAGTTTATTTGCAGTTTAAAATTTAAGAGTAAAAATAATTTAAGAAATAACCTTAAATTATAAATAATAAATTGGTGTTTGTCATACCCTTCGGCTAGACTGAATTTTATGTAGCGTTTTATATTTTTTTAAAAAAAATATCTTTTGTGAACCATAATTTATTTATCAAATTTTAATTTTATAGTTTCAAAAGGAGTGTTTCAAATTATGTTTAATAAATAATCTTACTAAATTGTAACATCATTTTTATTGGTTATACTGGGTACAACAAATATTTAATTTAACATTAAAAAAATTTAAGTTTTTTCTAACATACTTCAAAAAAAATAAAAAAACTATTTATTAAAGATTAAAACAAAAAGATCAATAATTATTTTCCTAACAAATTTATAAAAAGAAAAATTCTTAAAAAAATTACCATGTTCAAAGATATAAAGTTTATAAAAGAGAGGTTTTTAAATTTAAATTCAAACATACAACTAATACCCGTATGAAACAAGACATAAACAATTTAAAATTTTTGTAGTTTTTAACAAAAGCATATCATAAACATGTTATGAAACAAGCTTGTAATTTTGATTTTTAATTAAAAAAGTTAATATAAAGCTTTTAAAAATCATTAGAATCAAAAACGCAAATAAATAAAAACAACAGTATTTTATTAATCAAATTTGAGCTTCAATATTGATACATTTTTTATTTCTAATCTGCACCACTATTTTTATAACTTTTTATGAAATTAAAAGTTAAATAACTAGTTTGATTTGTATATAAGATAAATTACTTTAACATGTGATTTATATCAATAACAATCTATTATCATTAAAACATCTATTTTAGAAATACAATAAAAACAAAATGTTTTTTAAAAAACGTATCTTTAAAATAAAGATAATTTAATGAAATATTCAAGTAAAAAGAGGTTCAACAAAAAATTATCTTTTACTTATTAACAATTATTAAATAATCTTTTAGAGTAAAAGAGATCTATTTTATAATAAAAAAAAATAAAAAAAAACATTTTTAAAAATTCTAATTAATTGATAATAAATAGTTGAAATTTTATTTGTTTTGAGAAACAAAATTTTTATTAAATACAAAAACTATAATAAACATGATAAAATTTTCATAAATACAGTATAAATTTCTAGTAAGATTTTTATAATAAAAAGTGATATTAAAGCATAATTTAATGTAATTCTAACAAATTATTTTTTTTAATATTATTTATAAAAAATTATTTGTTAGAAAAACCATGGTTTGATCAAATAATTATGTTGTGATTATACATATTATATATTTAAGAAAATTGGTTAATGATAGAACGCGTATAGCGTTTATGATTAGAAAAAAAGTTGATTTTATTAACAATTTGTTTATTATAAGAAAGTAAAAGAGCTTAAAATTTTAATACATATCAATCATCATTGTTTTTAAAACAAAAAAAGAAATTTAAGAAAGTTTTTATATTTTTGGATACTTATAATTTATAATGAATAAATAAGATTATAATAACAAATAAAAACACCGAATTTACAAAAAACGTTTGATTAATTCAAAATTTATTATTTGTGATTGCTGAAGCCAAAAGAGTGATTAGAACAAAGTTTAAAAAGTCTAATCATTGATCCAAAAGCGTCTTACTTACTCCCTGCGTAAGGGCTACTGTCTATATCTAACTCATCTTTAATAGCATCTGTCTCTCTCTTACTTAAATACTCTTCACTCATCCTGTATTTAATTTTTATAGGCTAAATAAAATATCTTTTTTAAATATATCACCTGTCAAATCAATCAATCAAAATCTCTTAAAATATTCTTTACTACTTAAAAAAACAATTTACTCATTTTGAAGGATACAACAGTGATAAATAAATTAAATTATTTTATAAAATTTTCAAATTATTAAGAGATAAAGTATGTTTCAGAAAAACAAACTTAAGTTTTTTATCAAAATTATTTTAAAATATTAAATTCAATATTTTTTTAATATGTGAAAATTTTTAATAAAAAAACCCCAAATGAAATTTTTTAAACAAATAATTTGCTCAACTAATAATAGTATTGAACATGGATATAATATAAGGATAATAATAAATGATGGAGAAAAAGAACAACAAAATAGTAGTGATGAATCGAATTTTACAACAAATATTCAACACAATCATATAATTCCAGAGAACAATCCACTAGTTGGATGTACTGAAGGAAGCCGGGAAAAATCAGAAAAAAATAATCAATTGGAATTAAATAATAGTTGTTTTACTTCTAAAAATCACCAATCAAGTGAAGATATTTATTCTATTGAAGAAGAAAAACAATCTTCTACAAAAGATTCTTTGTCTAATGAAAGAGGTATTTATAGAGATAAAATTAAAAAAATACTGAGCATTGGTATAAGTTTTTTACTAAAGAATTTTTCAAATATTTTAAAATTAGTAATATTCTTAAGTCTCATTATAGCTGTAATTTATTTTAATGTATAATAAATTAATATTAATTTTTTATTGATGTAAAAAAAATTATAAAAAACCAATAATTTAGTATAGAAGTGAATGATATTTGGATAAAGTCCCTTTTCTACCCCATGTAGGGTAAAAAAGACCTTAAAAATTCAAACATTGAATAATTAAAAAATAAAATATTTTTTTAGAATTTTTTAAACTATGTATCATTGATATAATAATGTATTAAAACCGCTATTACACTGATCAACTCAAAACTTAATAGAGTTTCTTCACATCAAGGGTGTATTATAAAGCTATGCGGAATGTGTATCTTGTCAACAAGATATGGAAATGAGACCATGCTCTTGAAATAGAGTGGTATTAAGGTATTTTAAATACATTAATCATATTTAAATGTGTCTTTGGGCAACATACTATAGGTATGTTTTAAGTGGTTTAACAACTAAACTCAAATACAGATAAGGTTAGAAGTGACGAGTGAAAACAATTATAAAAATAATTGATACCTTTCGAAAGCAGTATTTGAAACATGCCAGTGAAAACCCAGTTTGCCTAGGAGGTGATAGAATAGTTTGCAAATAGATGAAAGTTTATTTTGACACCAACAAAAATACCATCGCAGAAGACAGCCAGAAAAAGAGAGATGGGTATTTGGCTTGGTAGATATGACATTCACCCAGCTAAAATTTCGTTGAATGTTGTACCTAATATGATTGCCTCAAGGCTTTTACTAATAATTGAAGCAGTTTGTTTGCCTGAGAATGCAATACACTTGATGAATGGCGTGCTTATATACGTATTGGTAACAATAATTTGCGATTTTTGAAATATAATGTTCATTATATTAAAACTTTGTGTACTACCATACTGGTGTTCATACCTAGAACATTGATAATTTATGGAATAAATACAATTTTCTTTTGAAAATACACAAAGTTTTTGTGGCATCTAAGATATAAGATTTTTCGATTTATAAATAATTCTTGCAACCAATTGAATAAAATAGAATTATTTAGTGTTTTTTTGCAATAATATACAGTATGAAACACATAAAACTTTTACCATGCTTTTTACATATTATTTTTAAAGATACGTATTAAATCTTATTCTTAAAAAATAATATGTAAAAAGCATGGTAAAAGTTTTATGTATTGAAAAATAAAAAATTGCTCTTTTTAAATAGTATTGTTTAAAATTTTAAGAAAATGTTTTTTAAAAATGTGGACATTGAAAAATGGAAAATATAATAAGTTTATGAAAATTTTCATCCTCAAAATTTTTAATATAAATTTTGAAAAAAAAAACACACTCTTAAAATGGATAAGTATTATTTAAATTTTTTAAAAGGGTAAGTAATTGCATTAAAAAATTCAAGTTTTATGTATAAACAAATATCAGAAAAACTTAATATCCCATTATCGTCTTCTCAATTTATCGTCTTTAAATATAATAATTATAATACTTCAAATCGTAAAATTGGTACAGGTAAATTTTCAAAGATTAACAGAAGTGATTATGAAATAATTAAAAAGATAAAAAATAAAAAAAATTTCATCTCCTAAATTAAATAAGGTATTTAGAACTTTAACAGAGAAAGTAATATCAGATAGAACAATGAGAAGAATTTTGAATGAATTAGGTTTAAGTAGTATTAAACCAGTTTCAAAACCAAAATTGACTAAAAGACATAAAATTGCAAGATTAAATTTAGCCAAAAAATTTCTTTTTGTAGGTAAAGATTATTAGAATAACGTTATATTCACTGATAAATCGTTTTTTCAACGTATAATAATTTAGGAAAATATAAAATATTGGTAGGTGAAAACGAAGAAAAACCTTTTAATGAAACCATTAAATATAGTAAAAAGAAAATAATGGTTCGGTAATGTATGTTTTCTATAGGTGTTGGTGGTTTGCATTTTTAGATAGAAACATGGATGCATTATACTATGTAGAAATTTTAGCAAATAATTTACCATCGTCAATGTCAAAGTTTGGTTTTGAAAATTTGAAACTTTTGCAGGATGGTGATCCTAAACATAGAAGTAAGTTAGCAAAAGAATATTTTGAATTTAACAATATCAAATTAGTAGAATTGGCATCTCAATTACCTGATTTAAACCCAATTGAAAACTTATGGGCTATAATAAAAAGAAGATTAAAGAGTATTGAATTTAATAGTATTAATGAAATGAAAGAAATTGTACAAAAAATATGCCAAAATATAGATACTAATATGTATGCAAATCTTGTTAATAGTATGTCTAAGAGAATAAAAGGTGTCAAAAAAGCCAAAGGAGATCATTCAAATATTAAATTTTCATTTCCATTTTTTATTGTCCATTTTTTCATTTTTCATTTATTAAATTTCTATTAAATACTTTTCTGTTATTCTATTATAAATATAAACTTTTAAAATATGAATAATATATTAAATTATTTTCGAATAAATTTTTTATTATATTTCTAGAGGGTTTAAAAGCAATCTTTTAATATTTATATTTTTATATGTTTCATACTGTACAATGATAGAAAGGCTGTAACAGACACAACTTATCCTAACAACTTTGAAGGTAGGACACTAATACCGGAATGAGG